TTTATGCACCAAGAGCTTGTAACACTCCAAAGAGAAAGGAAAAATTGAAATTGCATCATATGACCCCTTTAAACACACCCCTTTAACCGTTAGATTGCTATGAGTGAGAGACACCCCTTGTCCAAATACCCCCACTTGAGGTCTTGGCCACTTGAGAGCGCGTGCACGCGACAGGAAGTAAGTGCGAGAGCAGGAGCTCAAAAATAAAATCATGCCCTCTATTCAATATTCCGTTTCAGCTGGAAATACGTCTGAAATAACGTCCTACACTGAAATAAAGTCGGCAGCAACTTCCGGTTCACGCGGACTTTAAATAGCAATGTTCATCATAAATAAATGTATAGCCTACTGGTGTAACTTGTTTAATGGTTTTATTTATTTATTTTTTATACAAAGATAAGTGTTTCACATGATGTGGTCTACATATAGTGTGTAATAAAGTTTTGGGTCAGTAAGAATTTTATTTTGTTTTGTTTTGTTTTATTTTAAATAAATTATTAGTATTCAGCATGACGCATTAAGCAAAAGTGACAGTAAAGACATTAATGGTATACCAAAAAGATTTCTTTTTCAGATAAATGCTGTAATTAAATGCTCTTTTTTAAACTTTTCTATTAATCAAAGCATTTTAAAAATGCATCATATTTTCCACAAAAAGCAGCACAACTGTGCTCAGCAATGGCAATAATAAAAAATATTTCCTGAGCAGCAAATGACCATATTAGAATGATTTCTGAAGGACCATGTGACAATGACGTTTCATTTAATTTATTTATTTTATATAAAAAGGTATATTAAATTGTAATAATATTCACATTACTGTTTTACTGTAATTTTACCAAATAAATGCAGTCTTGCTATGCATAAGAGACTTTTTTTGAAAAACAAACTAACACAAATCTTACCGACCCCAAACTTTTGAACGGTATTGTAAATAACAAAGGCTTTAATATTCTGAAAGAGAATACAGGAAATTGTCTCTTGTGTCATTGATCATTCAGTACTGTTTTGTCCAGATGTTATTCTGCATTTGGAAATATATTTCTGGGATCATCACGCAACATACATCAATGAGGATAATAAGCAGATAATTAGTCTACAATTACCTATGATAAACCTTTGCCACATAATTACTTGGAATGTAATTCTCAGTTCCTTTTTGAAGAGAACGGACTTTCCACCAGCAACCCTCTCTGTAAAGCATTGACGAGTAAATAAAAAGACATTTAATAGGTTGCAGGTGTACACATGTACAGTATATGTATATTAATATAAATGAAAATGAAAATCAAATAAGCATTTCACAAGCATTATATATTAGTAGGCATTTATTGTTATATAGCATCAAACACATTGTATTTCACTGAAAGAACACTTACTCAGAGAGACCTTTGAGTTTGTCCCCGATCTTAAAGATCGGTTCACTAATGTCTCGACATGGGTAATCAGAGAGCACCACAAGACTGTCACAGTCTGTAAATGTAGATTAACAAACTATATAAGTAATGTCAAAGACCCACATTAATACATATTTAGGCAACAGATTTCCCGTACAGCAGTTGAGGAACCATAGCTTACCTTTAAACATGGTATCAAAGTTGTTTGGCTCTGGGTTTGTCTTTTCCTGCCTCATCACATTCCCCATGATAGCCGTTTAGAGGCCGCAGCTCTACAGATGCTGGAATTTTAAATGCACATTTCAGTTCATGCAAGGGAGAGCATGAGTTTTGCATCTGATAGCCCAATAGCTAATGCAACAGCTGTTTTAATTTTGCAACTTCCTCTCAGCTAATGTGTTATCTCTACCAAAAAATAGAACAGGGAAGCTGCTGGAGAGCCCAAGTCTACCACTATTTCTCACTAAACTCCTTCCTGACAATGTTCACATTTAACTCGCATTTCTACAGTACAACAAAGAGTTGAGTTTACGCACGATTGAACGATTTTTTTTCTTTTTATGGTGATTTGTTTGTTTGTTTATTCATGCTATTTTTAGTCATTAAAAACACATGGAAAAATGAGTCATAAATTGCTGTTTATTTTGGTTTCATCACCTAAAATGTCATTTTGCATCACAGGCCTTTAACCAATCTCACCATGATATCTAAATTTTGACATAAATGCATAGAAGAGGTATTTGCACAGTTTTAATTGCTCATAAATTTTTTATTTAATATTTTGTAAGCATGATAAATCAAACCATGGACAGTGGGAGGTTATTGGAAGTAACTAAATCTCAATAGATAACACGCAAACAGCATCCCAACACTTTACACTTTTTTCCCCCCAGTGAAACACCATATAAATGTCAAACTTCTATTATTATTTCCCTCTCCACACCAACAGAAATATGCTAGGCACATAAATGAGTTTTCTTACCTCTCACTTTAAGCAGCTAAATATCCATGTTTCCTTCAGAGGGCAAAGGTTCAGTTCTGGCTGGCTCCTCCGAATAAAGTTGAAGCAGGTGGTTCAGAGTAAAGAAATAGTGCCCTGGTCTCAGACCGAAGGCCAGCAGTATGAGCAGTTGTGTTGTGAGTGGCCTGCACTGCTCTGCAGACTTATCTAAACTGAGCGATGGTCTACTGAAAACAGGACATAGCCACATACTTCCTCTGGTAAAATGACGAAGAGTTCCCTAACCTTGTTTTCCTTCATCCCCTCAATGTGCAACAACAGAAATGATTATAAATTCTTAATACAAATAAAAATACAGTACAGCAAATTATTTTTTTTATGCAAATAAGTACAGTTTGCAATGTTTACGCTGAGGTTTACGTTTTAAATACGAGATTTTAGTGCTCTCAGTATCATAGTGTTCAAATGGGTGTTGTGCAACTTCCTGTATATGGCATTAGTGGGTGAATGTCTGGGTGTGAGTGTGTCTACATGTGTGAGTTTCTATCTCAGAAGCATAATGCCTATAACCAGACATTCAAATGGCTTTAATGATACAAAATGTAGTGCTAAACATTAGCTTTTGGCATTAGCCTTAGTGTTTTTATTATCTTTATTTAAGTTTTTATATGACACTGCAGATCCACCTATATGATTTACTATAAAAGGTGGCTACACAACTGATAATTTAGCATTTATCCTCCAAATGAGATTTTTGTTCATTTTCAGACATCAACTGGAAAAAATGAAATGTGTCTGTTCATGCATGAGTGTACTTATACATGTGAAAAATAACATAACCATCATAATGTGCTAGTGGGGGCCAAACATTATGCCTGTGGAGACCTATAATAGTTTTACAGCTGATGCAAACTGCGAATTTAGCATTTATCCTCCAAATGAGATTTTTGTTCATTTTCAGACATCAACTGGAAAAAAGGAAATGTGTCTGTTCATGCATGAGTGTACTTATACATGTGAAAAATAACATAACCATCATAATGTGCTAGTGGGGGCCAAACATTATGCCTGTGGAGACCTATAATAGTTTTACAGCTGATGCAAACTGCAAAATGCTTAAAAGTGGCCATTTATTTTATTACATTGAAATCACCGCCATATCAATCGGTTGTATTCTTTGCATTGTGAAACTAAAAGATACGTGGCAGATGATTTGAGAGTATTTCTGCTTTCTAAATGTCCCTTTTTGTGCAAAACTATGAATATTCAACTAACTGCTGGCTCTGTCTAAGTACCTCATTTTCTCTGGTTCAGAGACTTGAACTTCTCTTATTTGTTTTTACTGCTTTAAACACACTTTTAAACAGTTTTTCTACTTTAAACCTCTTTAAGAAGTGGATACATGATGCAACATTTGAATTTGTTGTCAGTCTAGCCTGTTTCCTGTGCATTTTCACAGTTTTAGACAGGTCACCGTATTCATTACCGCTGATGCAGTTATCAAAGTTTTTTTAACTTTGTGTTTTAAATTAAGCATAACAGATCAGGCGAGGGGAACTGTACAATTTTTATATGCACTGGTGTAAATATATGAGCTCAGAACTGTTAAAGTCTAAAAAAGATGTGTTCATCAAATTTAATTTGTGAATAGATAGGATACATTTAGTATATGCTTGACTGATCTGGTTAATGTTAATGACATGTTAATGTCTTTTTCCATTGAAAAATATGTGCACTTTTTACTTTTTGACAGGGAATTGGAATCAAAAATGTACTGAGTGATCCCAGTCTGGGAAAGCCATCAATGCTGATCAACTGCATATTATCCGTTAACTTCTCACCCATTCTCAAATTGATTTTTTTGCCAAAAGCTACAAACCAGCTGATGCCAATACCACAAATATGACTCTATTTAATTTGATGTCATTTTTTTGTGAGATCACAATCGTTTTCATTTAAACTCAACAAAACATCTACTGACTTACTTCCCATTAGTAAGTAGCATGTGGAATTCACTTCAAACCTGTGGTGTCTATGATATCACCTCCTATTAGTTTTAAATACAAATTCTTCTGTACACGATTAAAATGACCTTTATCTTTTCAACTCTGGATCTTTGGACTGCACCAAGGTTCGTATGTCAGCCTTCACGTTAAACTCAACAAAACATCTACTGACTTACTTCCCATTAGTAAGTAGCATGTGGAATTCACTTCAAACCTGTGGTGTCTATGATATCACCTCCTATTAGTTTTAAATACAAATTCTTCTGTACACGATTAAAATGACCTTTATCTTTTCAACTCTGGATCTTTGGACTGCACCAAGGTTCGTATGTCAGCCTTCACGCTAATTCAAATGAACCCCACAATAGCACCATATTTTGTTTTAATCTAACCAAACCTGCCACGTGTGAACACGCTCTAAAAGTCTAATTTTCAGTAGCAACAATAGTGCAGAATATCATCTGAAGGTGAAAAACAAAACAAACAAAAAAAACAACTCACAATGGTCAAAGACATACTGTATATCTAACACATGTTCACGTAGGAAAACAACTGAAAAACAGCACAGGGAGACTGTGCTCCACCTTCCCCAGCTCCACCTGTATAGATCTGCTACGAGGTGATTCATGTATGCTATATGGGGGCTATTTCATGTATGTTATATTTGCAGCAGCTATATTTCTTACATGCTCACAGCAGCATGTTGTGGATGTATTGGCAGTAGCAAATCTCGGTACTTGCTCTACCGCAGCAGCAGCAGTGTAGCAGATCTATTCCGCCAAGACCAAATACATTAACAAGTCAAGTCAAGTCAAGTCACCTTTATTTATATAGCGCTTTTAACAATACAGATTGTGACAAAGCAACTGAACAGCATTAATTAGGAAAATAGTGTCAATAATGCAAAATGACAATAGTAAACACTCATTTTTCAGTTATAGACAGTTCATCATTGAATTCAGTGATGTCAACATCCAGCTCAGTTTAAATAATATCTTTGCAATCATGTCAACGATAACGCTGGAAATGAAGTGTCCCCAACTAAGCAAGCCAGAGGCGACAGCGGCAAGGAACCAAAACTCCATCGGTGACAGAATGGAGAAAAAACCTTGGGAGAAACCAGGCTCAGTCGGGGGGCCAGTTCTCCTCTGACCAGACGAACCAGCAGAACGGAAAAATCAATATAAGACGTAATAAAACAGACGATGAACAATATTAACAGCAATTATTATATGATGCAATCAAACTTATAGCAAAATGTGGTAGTTCTGGATGTTGTTTCAGGGTTGGCATCATCTGAGGTCCTCTGAGGAGTTGCATCATCTCTTCTCAGGTGTTCTGGATCCAGACTGAAGCTTGTGTAAATCCTAGTTACCACGGGATGTCAATCCCAGCAGAAACAGAGAAACACATACAAACATAATTAGCATAGCTGCTGTTCCAACCAAGCAAAAATGATTTGTTTAACCCAAACTAACGAATAATAATGTGCATTTGATCAGATATAACTGCAGTAAAAGATTATGACTGCAGTAAAAGATTATGAGATGCATTATTTGAATGCTTGGCCAAAGAGATGTGTCTTTAATCTAGATTTAAACAGAGACTTCCCATTAGTAAGTAGCATGTGGAATTCACTTCAAACCTGTGGTGTCTATGATATCACCTCCTATTAGTTTTAAATACAAATTCTTCTGTACACGATTAAAATGACCTTTATCTTTTCAACTCTGGATCTTTGGACTGCACCAAGGTTCGTATGTCAGCCTTCACGCTAATTCAAATGAACCCCACAATAGCACCATATTTTGTTTTAATCTAACCAAACCTGCCACGTGTGAACACGCTCTAAAAGTCTAATTTTCAGTAGCAACAATAGTGCAGAATATCATCTGAAGGTGAAAAACAAAACAAACAAAAAAAACAACTCACAATGGTCAAAGACATACTGTATATCTAACACATGTTCACGTAGGAAAACAACTGAAAAACAGCACAGGGAGACTGTGCTCCACCTTCCCCAGCTCCACCTGTATAGATCTGCTACGAGGTGATTCATGTATGCTATATGGGGGCTATTTCATGTATGTTATATTTGCAGCAGCTATATTTCTTACATGCTCACAGCAGCATGTTGTGGATGTATTGGCAGTAGCAAGTCTCGGTACTTGCTCTGCCGCAGCAGCAGCAGTGTAGCAGATCTATTCCGCCAAGACCAAATACATTAACAAGTCAAGTCAAGTCAAGTCACCTTTATTTAAACAGCGCTTTTAACAATACAGATTGTGACAAAGCAACTGAACAGCATTAATTACGAAAATAGTGTCAATGCAAAATGACAATAGTAAACACAAATTTTTCAGTTAAAGACAGTTCATCATTGAATTCAGTGATGTCAAAATCCTGCTCAGTTCAGTTTAAATAATATCTTTGCAATTATGTCAACGGGAGTGAAGGACATCTGGGAAGATCGCGTCCTGGGTGCACCGGGCCTGTGCAGAGAAACACACGGAGTAGAGGTGGTGGGAGAGATAGCAGCGCGCTGTATACTTACCTCGGACTTGTGAGCGTCAGCCTGGGATGTTTCCAGCGCGGCTCTCCGCTCTCTCAGCTGGGTCTGCTTTGCCATCAGGTCCCGGATCTGCTTCTCCACGGCCTCCAGCTCGACCTGCACCGAATGCAGCTCGAACGTGTCCTCACTTGCACTCAAAGGTAGACACACATCCGCCATTAAAGCAAGTAACAGTGAGTAAAACAATGGAAATGTGTGTGAATAGAGTATTAGTGTAAGCGAGATTAGCGGCAACCACGCTGGCGATGCTAGCGGGCTATATGCTAATAGCGGACTCGGAAGTCAAAAATAGAACTAGTGATAACAAAGCGCTCTGATTGTTTTTGTTGTAGAATACGATAGGGGATATATTCACACGTTATAAAACTGAAAAAAGATGGTGTATAAAATTGATTTTAAGATAAAAAATTAGACGACAAAGAATTAACTTGACGGAGCTCAAACTCAAACCACACGGCAGCAACAAACAGGAGCGAAGTAATATACATGACAATTAACATTGTCATGTATATTACCATGCCAATCCCTCCGAGAGCTGTCATGACAGAACTCTAGTTAATCGGTTCGTCTCTCTCTCTCATAAGTAGCGCTGGAAAGTCTCATTCATTTTAGTGA